AAGCCCCAAAACCGGTCATACTAGGCTGAGGTATCCACACCCTTATAAGGAGTGCTTAGTTCTCCTCACCAACCGATGTGGGACGGGTTGTTACATAACCCCTTTGTGTATCGGCCAAAAATGGGTGTTCATACATATACGTGCATAACTTTTGCAATGAAACTCTGTTTTAGGCTCATGACCAGTCAAATCATAGCATGGAAAAAACATCACACCATGTGTAGTAATTTTTTGGTATTACAACATGATTTGAGTGGGTTTAGACGAAACACACAACGCACATTCGTTCGACTTTGCCAACAGTTAGCTCCAAAAAAATTTCCAGCAAGAAAACATTTTTTTTTCAAGTTTTATCTGGTACAAAACATCTCCTTAACATTGTAAATACACCATGAAAGTTTTCATAGCAATCCGGCACGGTCGGTTCCAACGAGAAAACCCCTAGGGTAACCCCTTGGTGTGTCGGCCTAAAATGGGTGTTAACACTTAAACGAGCATAACTTTTGATACAAGATTCTTTTTTAGGCCCATGACCAATCAAATCGAAGCTTAGAACAATCATCACACCATGGGTAGGAATTTTTTGGTCGTAAAACATGATTTGAATAGGTTTCGATGAACCGCACCACGCACATTTGTTTGATTTGACCAATGTATGGCTCTGGAAATTTCTAACAAGAGAACGTTTTTTTGTAATTTAATTTTGGTAGAAGTCATCTCATTAGCATTGTAAACGGACCACGAAAATATTCGTGGCAATCCAGCACGGTCAGTCCGGACGAGAAAACCTCAAGGGTAACCCCTTTGCATATCGGCTAAAAATGGATGTTAATGTTTAAACTTGCATAACTTTTGCAACGAAACTCTGTTTTAGGCTCATGAAAATTCAAATCAAAACTTAGAACAAACTTCACGCCATGGGTAGGAGCTATTTGGTAATACAACATTATTTGAGTTGGTTTAAACGAACCGCACTACGCGCATTCATTCGACTTTGCCAACGCTTGGCTCCAGAATTTTTGCAGCAAAAGATCGGTTTTTTTCAAGTTTTTTTTGTTAGAAAACATCTCATTAACATAGTATATTAGAAACGGTCGCTCTGGACGAGGAAAACCCAAGGTTACTCCATTGTTGTATCGACCAAAAATGAGTGTTAACGCTTAAAAACGCATAACTTTTGTTATACGACTCCATTTTAGGCCCATGACCAGTCAAATCAAAGCTTCGAAAAATAAGCACAACATAGGAAGAAAGGTTGTGATAATACAACATCATTTGAATGGGTTTCGACGAACTACACGATGAGCGTTCTTTCGATTTGGCAAATACGTGCTCCGGCAATTTCCGTCACGAGAATGGTTTTCTTTCATGTTTTTAGGGTGGAAAACATCTCATTAACATTGTAAATAGACCATAGAAATTTTCTTGGCAATCCGGCACGGTTGGTCCTGGCGAGAAAATCCCAAGGGTAACCCCTTGGTGTATCGGCCAAAAATGGGTGTTAACGCTTAAACGAGCATAACTTTTGCTACGAGACTTTTTTTTCGGCCCATGACCATTCAAATCGAAGCTTGGAA